CTGATGAGAAACAAGGTCACTTCTCCTGCAACTGATGTAATGGTCTAATTAGTAAGGATTGGAATGTAGAACAATTAAGTGAACTTGAGGTTGTTCTTTTTGAGGGGTTTGTAGCTGCAGGGAAGTAGATAGGAAATGGAAAAACGCAATTCCTTGCCTCTTGTTAGTAATAGTAATAGTAATAGTAATAGTAATAGCAACAGTAGTAACTTTGTTGAATGTTTTTTATTGTTCTTGGTAGTCTCCCTACTATTATACATAGGCAGTGATAAATGATAATTGTGCTAGGGGGTATTGTAGAATAGTTCAGCCTCCCTGTTGAACATTGTAGTCCTTGGTTTGTTTATTATTTTATAAAAAGTTATACATTTTTGTTCTGTCATCTTCCCTTAATCAATTATATGCATAGAGGCTTTTGCTTTCAATCTTTTGGCGTATTGATTTTGATTCCACGAGCCCGCTCAAAATAGCAAGATTGTATTATGTTCGAACATAGAAGGCATATTAGACCATCTTCCCTATGATCGTGTAGAGCTCAAACTCAGTACAATTAAAAGATCTGAAGGAAGGAACTTGTTCTACCGGAATCCACCAAAGCTCCACCAGAAACTCAGTTTTGAGTCCTGCAGCCTAAGGAAGGAAACAGTTCGTGGAATGGAAGACGAAAACAATGACATTGGTCATATTTCAATCTTTTCATTTCTGGGAAACAAATACATCATCGACGATACATAAACAATTCCATTCTACCGTCGTCTTCCTTCAACTGCTCATAACTATACCATCCCATTACGAGATGCTAGTGCTCAAGAAATAATTTATTTCTCGCTCTTGACATCTCCACCATGTGCTGAGATACTGTTGTCCCAGCCCCTGGAGCAACGGAAAAATGCTCAATGGAAAATTGCTTCAACTTATGCTTAAGCCAGCAAACTAGAACTGCAACTGCAATGAACCAAATAGAATTCCATCAGGATGCTACATGCCACGGTTCTCTGATGGTGTATGATCAGTAGCAATACATTCCTACAAAACAATCGCGCAATTAATCACAAGTTGGTATGGGAAGCATCATACTCATTGGCTAAGGGTTAAACTGCTAACCTATATCCCCATTGAACATGCTGCAAAGGTCCCAAACCTTTAAATTTTTGTACAACAATCATTCCAGGGTACCTAGTTCACATGGCATGACACCAACCATGCTTTTGCCAACTGAAAAAATCACTTAGCTGCAGAAAGCCCTAAATGCACTAATTAAGCAATCAATATATGAAGCCAAGACAATAATCTCAAACATCACAGCAAGAATAGCTCCATCAGGGAGTAACAAAATGACAAGTTATTGATATAGTGTACTAATAACATAATGACAAAGTAACACATCATTACCAGGGTATGGTTCTTCCATTTCAGAGGCCATAGGAGCATATGCTAAACGTTGATGACTGGTGACTAATCATTTCATAACCGAGAACTTGTTCCCCCATTTGGATTCCCAGACCTCCTCTCTGAATGCTACTGATATCGAATATCGATGCAGGGCGCAAAAGATATGCCATTATATGCATACGATAGAGGAAGCAGCGAAAGATTTGCTAAAGGTACCCTATCAGTCTTCTCCATGTCCATCTTCCAACTCTATATACCATTTCACCGCAGGGAAATTCTTTCTCTGTAAATGAATAAGCCGGTATGTTCACAATAATGGTATCAGGACTAAATTTTTTGGAGATTCTTGATATGGGAAGCAATTAAGAGATTTATGTCATTAACATCAACATATTATCATCTCTAGTTGTCCTCCCGTCTCTCAAAGTCGTGGACGTCTCATTCAACAAACTCCTAGGATCAACTTAACTAGAAGGTTTATGCGGAATCACTTGTCTCCTTCAATTCAAGGGTTTAATTGACTTCAGCAAAACACAGCATTAGCAGGGGAATGAAAGGCCTCGTGTAATTCTGTCATAATTAGATATGTTATCAATAGCTGTTTGACAAAATATGATGAATTGGTGGTGGCCTTCCCACTCGGCTGACATAGATAGGCTCTGCTAAGTGCTAATGCTTTATGTATCAACCAAAAAAGAAAGACCAAAGAAGCAGAACATGGACAGAACAAGCATCCTTCCCACTCGGTTGGCTTAGCTAGGCTCTGCTCTTTCGTGCGAGATTGTCGGTGTCGGCAGACTACTTTGACGGAGACAGAGGGCCTCTCGGTACTAGGGATTCGTCGTTTTTTTTTTGCACTCGATGAATGGGGGAGGAGGAATGCAGTGAAGGAGTTTAGGGGAGGGTATGGAGTTCCGATCGGAGACGGTGGAGTTCGCCGGAGCAGTTTGGTATTCTACGCTCCTCGGATTGAAGGATTCTCTTTCCGTTCGTTTTTTTTTTTGTTTCATAATAAAAGTTAAAAACTAAAATGTAGTTAAAATTAAATCAAAGAGGAAACGACTGTGGGAAATATAGGGGATTCCGTCTGCTGGGTAGGTTTTCGGTTTAAACAATTCTGAAGGGTAATGGGCTCGAAATAAATAAACCAACCAGGCCACATCAGCTCCACGTGGCCCAATAAGAATTAGCGTCACCGGTGCCGCACTTTTTATAGCGGCACCATAGTATTGACCCTATAAATATAATAGACCGTTGAACCATACGAAGAGGATGTTGGACAAAGATGGGCCTAGTTAGTCATTAATAAGATGGGCCACTAGAATGCACGTTGGACTGGGCTTTCTCACTATCTCCTTCCGTAGAGAAGGCAGTCTGGGTCCACTCTTATTGCCAGCCCAATATGGGTAGCCCGTAGATTGCATTTAGCGAGAGGTTAGAGTTGTTTTCCCCCTGGATAGTTAGTATAAAGATAAATAGTTCCACAATACTGACTACTGAGTAACTTGATGTGATACTCAACAAATAGTTAAACTCCGATGAAAGCATTTTTTTTTGTCATCAACTGGACAACTCTACTAGTGTAACGACGAACAAAAAACAAGTAATGAAAGTATAGTAAGAAACCAATTATCCTAAGTTTTTTTGAACAAATCCACCGGATTACGAGTCGTCATCCCCACCACACTCGTCAAATCTCATATTGTTTGTGAATAACCATAGAACAGGAAAATAAAAATAAATAGCAACCCGAGCATTACACGTTTCAAAACATATTGTTTGTGCTTTTTAGCATATATGTATCTTATTTCGTCGTTTTGTTGGTTACAAGTGATTAATTTACATGATTGACTCGTACTTCCTGAACGTGTCACACATGACTCACGTTCCATATATTAGATATAACAAGTTAAGATTGTTTTTCAATATGCCAGGGTTAGTTCTCTTCCATTTCGTGAAGTTAGTGAGCTATATAGTTAGTAGCTAGGTGGTAGGGTTAGGAGATTTCTGGTTGTTAGGAATTAGGTTAGTTAGTTATAGGTCAACCATTTCTTCTCTTTCGTTTGGTTGGTGTTGGTCTTTGGATAAGGAGCAACCCTCCCTCCCTTTGCTTCTCAATTCACTAACTTATTGCAAGAGGTTGAACGCCCTTGTAGTTGTTTTTCTTCTTAATCTCCGATCCTTCTCCCAATTGGATGTATTTCCGTGGCTCAACACTTCTCATTACTATTAAAGATATGGTTTCTAAGTATGGATCGAAAGTATCTCACCATAAAAAAATGTGGTTCAATCAATTATATGAATGATCTCTAATCGAGTTAATTTATTTGGTATGACAAGTTTGTTATATCCTTGATAATAGAGTTATATGTATAATATTTGATAGGGTGTGCCTACGGTGACATGCATGTCACGGTGACTTGCACTTTCCGGTCGACCTCAGTTAGGATTAGGTCGACCTCATTTAGAATTCAGTCGACCTCATATAGGATTCGGTCGACCTCATATAGGATCTGGTCGACCTCATTTAGGATTCGGTCGACCTCATATGTTGTTTCAGTATAAAAACAGTTCATGGTGCATACTTTGGATATTCATATCATACAATTGGCTAGATGGAAATTGAAGACTAATAACTTGTTTTGAAGCTGGAGTGTCCCTCTACATATTGAAGTGATTGAGAGCTCGATAGGAAGTCCAGAAGACCATTTTTGAACCTCATCAAAAGGCTATGCCAAAACTGGGAAACTGCCTGGAAATGGCTAAGTCTGTAAACGTGTTTGTGAAGCCTATTTTGGAGCTCAATTCGAGAAGCATGAATGCGAGTCGAGTCCAGGAGCCTCTACCACGTTAAATTAGGTATGTTTTTATACAAATTCAAGGCATTGGCTGAAAGATTGGATATCTGTAAGGCTTCAAATTAAAGGGTCGAAGTTTCTACGAAGGCTGTTTTTCTGGCAGACTTCGAGCACAAGCAAGCTGCCATGCCTTTTGTTTGACAAAATTCGACAAAGTATTACCAAAATTGGATAGACTCATTTACTCATTCCATTATCATTATTTTTCATTCACGAACTATTTTCCTTTATTTTGTCATTAAAAATAATTTTGCGTTTATTTTTCTCATATAGCACATGTGAGAATAGATCAATCTACCTAACTCATATACACACAAGTATAATTTGACTCGTACTAAATTCGTAACAGGTATGAGTATTTGTGATACTCACCTAGTCCATCCCATTGCCATTCCTACGAGAAATGCAAGAACTACCAGAAAACATTATTATTATTATTATTATTATTATTATTATTATTATTATTATTATTATTATTATAATAGTGTAAACTTCAAGCAATTCCTATGAATCTATGATGACATATGTAATGACGATGAGGTGGATGCTCTTGACTTGATCAACCTACGCACCTCGTTGGCCACCTAACTTTACTCAAAATCAGATTTTCCATTTTTCAGTGATTCAAAATATTTTCATTTATTACGACCACCCCCAAACTCTGAAACAAAATTCCTATTTCCCTTCTCCCAACTGCCTTGCATTGCATTTGGACAACACCATTAATTGACTCATAAATTAGGAAAATAAAATCAATGCTTTAATTAATTAACTATTATATATCTTCCTTGAAAAAAAAATCGTTTTTGGCTTGAATTGTGTGGTCGATATGAAAGCCTTCTATAGCAAAAAAGTGTATCCTCGTTTCTCTCTTATTAACTTGATCTTTCCCATGTGAAGATTGTACCATATGTTACATCCAAATTGTACTAATACAAAATATAAATAAAATTAAATAGAGGGGAAAAGAAAATAGAGATAAAGAAAGAACAAAGCTATCAATCATAAAGTATATGGACATGTTACCTCTATTGACAAAGTCAAATAAGGAAGCTAAGATTGAATAAGTACTTTAAAATAACTCAAGAGCAATTAATAAAAAACTCAGACCGGCGGTCGGGTCAATTGGGCCGTTTCCAACCCACTTCGTTTGCTCGAAGACCCTTCTCCTTGATCCCTCGCCACCACCCCACGGGGAGATCGAATGGACCCATCGTTAGCCGCAACTCTAGGCGACCGGACGGAAGAAGTCGTTCTGGTCAGGAACGACGACGCTCTGGCAAAGAACGATGAGGTCCGATTGAACACCCAGCGGTCCGACCTGCCTTCCGTCTCCAACGGTTCCAGCCGCTTGTAACTCGAATGCTTCCCTCTGCTGCTTCCTTCACCGGTTCGATACCCTCGCCTCGTGCTCCCTTCTCTGGGCAGCGCAATCATGCTAGAGCTCCGGTTCAACCCCTGGTCCACCAACCGCTTCCGAACATCAGCCGGCAACCTCAATGTGAACCGATCGGTGTTCTCCCCCGGTTGAACCAAAGAGTGCCCAGTTGAGTGCGATCTTGGAAACTTTCGTGGCCGACCCGATCTCGACCCGCGCGTACGGTTCCGGTTCAAAACCCGATCAACCCACGCAACTTCCGGCGCAGCTTCTGCAGGCCGGTGGTCTTCACTTCCGCAATCCCCAGCCTGCTCCGGGACGGCGTCTTGGACTCTTCCCGCCTCGAGATCCGACGCGGCCCGAGTCATTACCGGCGCTGGAGCAATCAATTCCGGCTCGACAGCGGGTCGGACAGTCGAGCCATCGTCACCGGACTGGTCCGGGGTCAAATTGGCGCGGCAGACCGGGCAAGTGGTGTGCGATTCGAGCCAGGCGTCGATGCACTCCGGGTGGAAGACGTGGTCGCACTTGGGGATCAAACGCAGCGTTTCGTCGTCCTCGAATTCGTTGAGGCAGACGGCGCACTCCAGCGCTCCCTTTCCGATCTTCAATCCCTTGACGGCGGAGTAGACCATGGTGGGAAAGGTCTCGATGACGGATGGATCGAGGCCGCGGGAGGCGGCGGCGGCGGCGCGGCGGCCGAGCTGGCGGATGCTGCCGCCAGCGCCGGCGGATTGGGACTCGGAGCAGTTGCGGATGTAGATGGAGAAGAAGCCCATGAGGAAGAGGGCGGCGATTAGGACGACGATGATGACGGCCATGGAAGGGGTGACCCTGGCGTAGTCGGGGAGCTCGCCGGCCGGCGGCTGCGCTGTCGTGGGGCGGAGGAGGAGGAGGAGGAAAAGGATGGAGGATGCGGCGGCGGCGGCGGCCATTATTAATTTTTTTTTGGGCGATTGGTTTTTTTTATATATTTTCTATGTGTGTGTGGAGAGGGTGAAAAATGGATGGAGGGTATTAGATTTAGAAGTGAGGAGTGGGAAAAGGGAAGCTTTATAAATGGGGAAGGCGGAAGTGTGGGAAATGGGGAGGAAGGGAGAGAAGACTTTCGAGAAAGAGAAGAGAAGAGTCGTGTGAAGAAATTAAGGGGGGGGGGGGGGGGGGGGGGGGGGGGGGGGGGTGAAGAATGAAGATTGAAGAGAGTAGAGAGAGAGAGAGAGAGAAGGTGGGGGATTTCTTGTGAATTACTCTTGTTTTCTTTTTTGGAATTAAATGAATAATGGTTGTGTTTAAGTGAGAGATAATGAACATTATTACATGGATGGGTTAGATTGTGTTCCATGATATTGAATTTGGAAATGTGAGGTTTAAATGGGAACACCATCACTTTTTTAGATATGCAAACTAGATATTCTCATGAGTTTGATTTATATTGTGATTTCTAGATTCATGTTAGATACTATGAATAGATTTTGATAAAAAAAAATATTATTATTAAATTTGTTAAAAATTCATCATGTTCAGTTTTGTTGTTGAATTGAACTGAAAGTAAAACTATTCATTAAAGAGGAATTTTACAATACTCTATAGTATTGGTGCTATATGTTTTTACCTTTATGGTACAACTTGAAATTGTACATTCAATGTTATGGTACAGTTTTAGATTAGGGTAAATACAATTTAATATCCAAACCTTTCATTTTAAACAATATAATAGTCAAAACTTTTCGAAAACAATTTAATATCCAAATCGTCAACTTTCCGTTCGTTTGACCGTTAGTTGACACTTCAAAAAAGTTCGAAGTACGAAGCTTCATCAATATCCATCGATATCTTCTCTGAAAAACCACCAACATATTGTGGTTCCAAACCCGAGAAGTCCATGACTCCACCATGATGATATAGAATATCTAAATATTCAGTTATCTGCAATGCCAAAACAAGAAAATAAAGTTGTATTGTGACAATTTCCTCTAAACAAAGCTTTTTTGAAGTGTCAACCAACGGTCAAACGGACGGAAAGTTGATGATTTGGATATTAGATTGTTTTCGAAAAGGTTTGGCTATTATATTGTTTAAAATGAAAGGTTTGGATATTAAATTGTATTTACCCTTTAGATTATACCTACACTGTTTTGTACATATTCGTTATGGTACAACTTGAACTTGTGTCTTTATGTGATGGTACAACTTCAACTTGTAAAGTTGTACCATAATATAAGGGTACAAATTCCTTTGTGGTACAACTTGAACTTATACATTTAATGTTATGGTACAACTTCAACTTGTACAGTAAAGCACCAATACTTTATAGCATAGTAAAAGGGCTCTTCATTAAAAATTAATTTATAATGACATACCGTCTAACACCATAATAATTCAAAACAACAAAAGATAAAACAGAAAAAAAAAAGATACGATAAAATTGATTATGCTAGATCATATAACAAAAGACACGATACTTGAAAAATATTGTCTGTCTCTCACATTTCAAATACATTTTACTCCAATTTTATAATTACCATAAACTCAATATAAAGTTGATGTACAATTCAAATATCTAAATTACGTGAGTTCTCACAAAGTATCACTCAAAATTTACATTCGAAAGAATGATAACTAATGATTGATTTGAATAAAAAGGATTTTGAGGAGTTGATGGAATTCCACCGTAGACCTTGAAGTCAATACACTACCGCAATACCTCTAAAGTTGGAAGCACTTGAAAATAAAGAAGCATTAGTTAATGTATTGGGAGGGGGGAAAAAAAGGTTGGGGGAGAATTTGATTAATCAAATTAAGAGAGATGAACCATGACCGCATATGATAATTGACAAATATTATTATTTATGAATTGATGGCGTTTTAGGAAGGGGATAAAAAGGTGGGACAGGGAGTTTGAATTTCCTGGGTCAGAGAAGGAGAGCGTCAGCTGAGCCACGTGGAGCAGAGGAACCTCTTCTCCAATCCTTTTGTGCATCTTTTTCAATTTTCACGGGGAGGAAAGGAAACTTCTTACGCTGCTGATTCCTTCCTTCCTGCTGGTTGGCTGCTTTAACAAAATTCCATTAACCTACTACATGGTGATCGATGGTCCTCTTAACTATTCCCATTTCATTCCGAGTTGCGCTGCAGAAAAGAGAATAATGAAGAAAAGGCTTTTGTTTCATGGCCTTTCAATATATAGAGAGTTAATATTCTCTGAAGATAGATCAGTTATTCTCCCTTCATTCCGAGCATATATTCTTCCTCCTACACACGGCCAAAATGTTCAAGGAGTTAGATGAAATAAATTATACCATCATAATTAGAGATGACAATTTTCTCTAAATATGTGGGTATTTTTTTTATCCGACATGATTGGGTTGAGTATTAAAATCAAATACAAGATAAATAGGTAGAGTTTGATAAATTTATGCGCATATCTATTTGTTTGGATAGGTTTTTCAATCCATTGATTTGGGTTTGTACCTGTATGCAAATTACATTTTGGTAATTCAACATAATAGATCTTTGGATTTAGTTTTTTTTTTCCATATAAGTCCTAAAAATATTGATAAAAATAACATTTCAGTACTTTTTTTTGTGTCGGGCATTTTGATACCTGAACATTTATAATTTTACAAATAAGTGTAATTTCGTATGTGTAGTTAAAACAACATCAAGCAAATGAGCATTCATATCAAATCAATTGCCTCATAGAGTATGGAAGCAATACTCATACCCTAACTAAATCCAACTATTCAATCCAAACTCGTATATACTTTACTGTATTTACTTAGACTTGGATAAAATTAGAGATAAATGTGTAATTGTCATCCCTTCTAAATGTTGCAATATTTGGTGAATAAGTACGATGATCTCTTTTTTTTTTTTTTTTTTTTTGTGTCTTTGAGGGCCCATTATTTGCCTGTTGATTATGTCCACCGCCTACCTAGCTAGCAATTTCCGGCAAAGGATTCATAGTAGAATGGATCTCTTTTTTCATCCCAGTTATTTGTTACGTTGGTCTCTACTCTCTAGCTTTCATCTGCTAACTGGCAGAACATTTGTGCTTTATCTGTCGTAACTAATGACCGAGTCTATTGCGTAATTAAGAAAGACGCGTCTTAATCGGCATCTAAAATCGGCAATCCCAAGGTCATGACCTCTCCCCTCCGCCTTGTTTGAAGCCCAATTACTTCCAAGGAAAAAACACGAACAGCAAGAGTGAAAGAGAATCAAGATTGTCGTACGGCAGGAGAGTGATGCATGGATGCTTGTCGTCTGCCGATAAACTCTTTTTATTTTTATTTTTATTTTTAATTGATTGATAAGGTGCCGTTTAAGTATTTGTGAACAGTTTTTTTTTTTCTTCTTTTCAAAATACACTTGTATAGTCAAAATTTTCGTGTTTGTGCCAATAATAGTATAATTTGGAGAAATACCAGTTATAGCCACTTCCGTCCAATTCTCCATGGCGGTACCCACAATAACCGGGCAGATCTACAAAGTAGGGGAGAAGAAGAGGAAGGGCTGCAGTGGTGGTCCGAAGCTGAAGAATTGCTGCAGGGGAGGAGGGATTAGGGATTTGCAGAGAGAAGGAAGGGCAAGATGTTCACTCGGGCATCGATTGGGGTTAGAGATGGAAGATAAATATTCTAGGGTTTTGCAGGTTTTCGAGAAGATGGTGGCTGAGCGTTGCTCGACGCCGCCGCCAGGTTTGGAGAAAGGAGACGACAGGTAGGGGATAGGGAAAAATTAGATAAATTTTTTTTGTTTTTTTTTTTGTTTCAAACTAATTATTTTTATATCTCAAAATTAAATGACGTGGCAATGATATGATGATTTGTCATTGACGTGTGTGATGATTTGGCATCCTAGTCACTCTAACGTTAACCTAACTAAGGAGTCTTTAACACCGTTAAAGTTTGTAACGGAAATGACTATATTTGTCATGAAACTTTCAAAATTCTGGCTATAACTGGTATTTCTCCAAATTTGGCTATTATTGGCACAAACGCAAATGTTTTGACTATACAAGTGTATTTTGCCTTCTTTTTTCAACAATTTTGACGATTATCATCACTATATGCCAGTTTAAGTATTAATATGCAATTCAGTCAAAATCATAAACGCTTTTAAGTGTATTTTGCCTTCTTTTTTCAACAATTTTGACGATTATCACCAAAATGTAGTAAACGCTTTGGTGATCTAGTAATGTACCCAATGTAAAAGTATAATGTTGATGTCACTTAAATCAGATTATTTGGCAAAGATTGGATGTCACAGGACGCCCCCGATCCATTTTGTATGGGCTCAATGTTATTTAGGTTTCTATTCTGGGCCCGGTTTGTAACTGTTTTCCTTTACCATATTGGATTAGGGTTAGAGCACATGGTGAAGTACTAGATATAAATACTTCTCATACTACTCTGTGATCTGTATCTCCTCGAAGTATAGTGAAACTAGCTCTCTCCTGCCCGTGATATGCTAACACACATCGTGTTAGTGAATCACGTAAATTCGTGCGTCGTGTTCATTCTTGTTTTTTATTTTCTTACTTTGTTGAATCCTCTAATTTTTGATCCGCGGAGAAATAGTCATGACATATGAACTTTTGAGTTTTAAAAGTGGGATTTTGACTACATTGTTAACGTGACACATTTTCTAGTCAACTACTAACTACATATTCACTTTTTGATGAAGATTTTGTAAAGGGAGAGGATTTTCCCTAGAGAGGCCGGATACGGTGGTTACTAGAAAATAGTAGTCATCGTGGTTACTAAGGGTAAATTTGGTATTCTAGTGTTTATGTTTTGGTATTGGTACATATATTGAATTTGTATTGATTGTCATAAAAATATTTGAATTTATATTCATTAATGACTTTTTTATAAATTAAATATTAGAAAGTTACAAAAACATATTCATTGCAATTTCCTATCTCCTTCTCTCACTTTCGCAATCTCCATCGAGATTTCTTCTTTTTTCAATCTCTTTCTTGTCTTTGTTCAGTTGAAATAATATCACTGTAAGAAGAAATCAAGAA